AAAGAAGGGAGGGAGGGAGGAAGAGAGAGAAAGAAAAAGAAAAGAAAGAAGGAAAGAAAGAAAAGAGGAAGGAAGGAAGGAAGAAAGGAAAGAAAGAAAGAGAGAAAGAAAGAGAAAGAAAGAAATGGGCTCAGCAACTAATCAGGTTTCTGTTCTCGGGAACTGGGCTAGGGCTTATAACACACATATGTTGGAATTCAAAGAGCTGGGCTTGTTGCCTGTGGTCCTCAGTGTAATCTAGCATTGCTATTTCAGGAAAACCAGTGGAGTTCCCATGTCTGTTTCTCATATGTTGAGCTGATTGTCTTCCTTTGGATTTGGTGAAAGATCTAATTTGATCTGACCATTTTGAATCATCACGTAATATACACTTGGTTGGAAATAGGTACCTTGTTCACTTTTCAAGATTTGTTTTTTTCAAGTTAACAGATGAGGCTATTACCGGCCGTCTTCATGGTAGTGAGGTAGAGAAATGGAGGATAGTTCTGTAGTGGTTTCCTATGTGTTTATTTGGGGGTGGAAAAGATGGAATTCTGGAAAGAGAGGCAGGCTGCCTTGGCATGCATTTGGAGTCCTGCTGTCATGGACAGACCTGGCAGACATGAGAAACCTTTTTCGCTGTTTCCTTGGGTCTTCAGGTCTAAAGGGGTCTTTTTAAGTAATAGCATGACATGCTGAGAGCAAAATGATTTTGTGGGGGGATGAGGAAGTTCTGATTTTATGTTCGGGTTTTGGGTCTACACACTATTGATCTTTTTAACTGTTTTTTCCATGAAGTGGTTGTAGTTGGCAGCTCTCTTTTAGAATGAGCTCCTGGGCTTTGAAAAATCTCTGTCCATTTGAGTCCTGTGCCGTGTTTCCCACTCCTTAACATTCTGTCTGCCGACATCATCTAAGGTTTAGACCTTGGACCATGCCTCTTGGCTTTTCCCTGGAAGTTCCCTCTATAGGTTCTTTAGTTGGTTTATGATGGAGTTTTGGATCTGACCTTGCTGCACAGATGTCTGTGTATTGGAACTAAAAATGAACACATGGTTTTTGTGCCTGTAGCACATGAACAGACACTGGCTTATGACGTGTTGGAAATGGCACAGGCTGGCTGACTTGGCACTGTGTGCTTTAGCAGGGGCAGAGGTACATTGGAGCTGTAAAACCTGGTATTTGGACATCCTAGTTAGGAAGTTACTTTAGAAAAGGACATGTGTAAGTCTTAGGGCATCAGTAGAGGGGATTTTTGGGCAAGATACAGAGGTTATTATTATTTCATTGTTTATATTTTAGGTTTCAAGGAACTTGAAAACTGGCCAATGATTACATCTATGTGTTGTCGTTCTGTCTAGTCTAATGCTTTTAACTCCTTTTATCCCATAAATCTGTTGCAGTACAGCTAATAATTTGCAGGGTAGAAATGGACAGAGGCATTCTGTCTCTTTGTTACCTACAGTATAGGTGGGAACTTAGCTGACACAAAGGACTGCCAGCCTCAAAGACCTTTGCCTAAGGCCTTTTGCCCTGTCCTTTTATGTCACCTGAAGCACAGTCCACCGAATGCTTTTCCATCCTAACCTACTCCTCAAGTCTTTGTTGCTGCTAAGATGCAAGTGGCCTACTGGCAAAGTTATAGAGGTGTAACTTTGCATCCTTGTGCTTGTTGAGGTGATCTAGGGTGGAATAAATAACATGGTAATGTAGTATAGAAGGGTTAGTTTTGTTTGTTTGTTTTGAGGCAGTGTCTTGCTCTTTTGCCAGGGCCAGGCTGGAGTGCAGTGGTGCCATCTCGGCTCACTGCAACCTCCGCCTCCCGGGTTCAAGCAGTTCTCCTGCCTCAGCCTCCTGTGTAGCTGGGACTACAGGCGCGTGCCACCACACTCAGCTAATTTTTGTATTTTTTAGTAGGGATGGGGTTTCACCATGTTGACCAGAATGCGCTTGACCTCGTGATCCACCCGCCTCGCCCTCCCAAAGTGTTGGGATTACAGGCGTGAGCCACCAGGCTCGACCAGAGGGGTTAGTTTTAAATGTTATCATTATTCATATTGCTCTCCAAAATATAGTGTGTCTGCTTAGAATGGCCTTTTATCATTCTAAATGGTTCATGCATACAAAAGGGGATATATAAAGTGTATGTCTTTGAATAATAATAAAATACAAACATAGGTATCCATCACTAAGCTTAACAAATAGAATGTTATCAGTATCTTTGAAGAGTGTTGCTTCCTAATTACATCTTACCCCTCCCCCAGGTGACCACCATCCTCAATTCTATGTTAATCAGTACCTTACTTTTTTTTTTTTTAATAGTTATCTAGATTGGTTTTTTCATGAATGACTGCCATTCAAATGCTCTCAGGATCCTTAAGACAGATACTGCTTTGGATTTTTAGTTAGGCTTGTCTCCCCAAAGAGAGAAAGAAGCATGCATATTCATTAGTAGCCTTTTAGCCTCCTAGACTTTAGACCATTTACCTTTCCAAGCAGCCACGAGGCCCCCTTATTTGCCAGGAAAAACCATTCCGGCACTCTCGAACAGCTCTGCCTGGATTCAGATGTTTTTCTTTTTCTAGATCCTAGAAACTATGATTTTTCTTCTTCAGAATGCTGGGGGCGGGGGAGAAGATGAGCTGAAGTGAGAAGGCCTCCACAAGATGTGTGCATTTGGGTCCTGCCGTTCTTCAGTGCTTGGCACTGAAGAGACTCGTCCCCAGCATGGGCAGATGGCAGAGTAATGCAGCTTCCTTTGAAAAGAGGCAAACGGCCAAATGGCTGAGGTGTGAACCTTTTGAAAGGCCAGTGCTTTAGGTTTCTACTTGCTGGGTTTAATGTTGTACCCACAAGTTATCAAATAAAAATCAGCTTGGAAGCTCTTCAGCAGTGTTAAAGTTCATGTCCAGTGGAACTCACATTGCATTCCAGTCCTCTGGATTGTTGGAACTAAGCTGCAGTCATGAGCCACTTTTATGAGCAGAGAAACTGTGTGTGGCCGGATCTTATTTTTATATAGCCACCTCTCCTGTGGGTGCTGTGGGTGGAGTATTCATAGTGAGCGTGATCATCAGACCCCTCAAGTATGGAGGTTGCCAAGGGAGTGTAAAGCTAGGTCAGGAGAAACAAGGACCAGGGTTTCAGCTCTTTCTGAAAAAGATCTTCATGGCATGGTTTTAGAATTTTGTTTGAAGTGAATTCTGAGAAGCTCAGACATCAGTGTTAAAGCATAAATGCATAAACATCTTCTGAAGTCAAATAATTTAAAATAGAATTTTATTTTGGTTTTTCTTTGCTTTTGCCCCTCTCTATTGGTACAGTTTATAGTTGAAAAGAGTTTTCTATTTAGGCCTTTGGGTACGAGTATTTTTGGAAGGCGAGCCAGCTACAATGCTACGAGTCAGACACTCAATTCTGGGGGAGGATTTCCTTTAAGTCTGTTATATTGTTTTTATTTATTTATATATATATATATATATATATT